AAATATGATAAGAGATAAATAATTAAAGACAATTAAAAAAATACAATATATACATGTGTAAAATATGATATATTTTACCAAATTGACGCCTCATTTAATTGCGCTGGAATAGGCACTGCGTACTGGATGATAAACAACGTGTTTACCTATGTTACATAAATTAGTAAATTGTTGGGCTAAGCAGGAAATGTTAAATATTGTTTTGGAATTTTAAAAAGACTTATAATATGCAATAAAAAATTTTGGATTAATATAATTTTTTATCCTTTAAATTTGTCCTCATTTTGGTTTTAGTCCTTCAAATTTTAAAATATATGTTTTGGTCCTTGAAGGGGAAAATGGTCCAAGTCCTTATTGGATTATAGAGACCAACGTTACAAATGAAAAGAAACTTGAGGGACCAAAACCTATAGTTTGAAATTTGAGGGACCAAAACTAAAATGAAGATAAACTTAAGGGACCGAAGTTTGTATTAACCCAAAAATTTTCTTTGAGAGAACCAATGTTTAAAGAGCCGGACCAGACCGACTGGTCAAATTGTTGGCCAAAATCTTCTCCAACTTGGTTCAGATCTAATACTTGTTCGAGAGGTTGAACTGTGTTAACCTGTCATCTGGCCGCTATTAAGTCGTCAGTAGTCATAAATCCAAGAACCAGAGCGAGTATGAGAAAATCAAGGAACAAAAAATCAGATTGAATATTAAATCAGTTGAGGTCGTGGTTCAAGTGTCAGTAGGTCAGATCGAGGTCCAACAAGAATCAAACCGGTTATATTAAAACAATCTAATTTAATTAAAAATAACAAAATACAACAACAACAACAATAATTATTAATAACAAGATACAAGAAAATACAACAATAATTTGATTGTAATAATAACAAAATATAACAATATTGAGAATTTCGATTCTTTTTAATTCCTTCGTAACTAAAGTCAATAATTATTGATATCAAAATTATTATTAAAATGCATTCAAATTCATAATGACTGAGATATGAGGAGTTGAATGAGAAAAAATAGAATCAATAACAATATAATTATCCAAACCAATTCATTACCTATTCACATCAATTTTTATTGGTTTTACCAATTTACCCCTGATTTGACCAAATGAAACAACCTTCATAAATAAACCAATAAATTTAACTTTTCATAGTAACTTTAAAAGATTACTTTTTATAACCAAATTATGCTAACAATAAACTCACGTTATATCACAATCATATAAACCAACTAATTATATAAAATGTTATTCGTGACAAAAAAGAGTAACACCTAATCATATATCTTATTATGGATAAAAGAACTTTTCTCAACTCATTCAAATGCAAACCATATAAGAAAGGATCCATCTCACCTAATATGGTTATAAACCAACATACTATATAACTCATAAATTGAAATAGTAAGAATTAAATCTTAATTCATAATTTATAGCAACTTCATAAACAAATCACATCCGATCCTAAGCCTTTGGCCAACTACCAGCACGCATACCACAACAGTACAAATCAAATGACACAAAAATATAATAATACATGAACCAATTAAATACAGTTTGTCCTAAGGTGATAATATAGAGGAAACAATATAACTCATAAATTGAGAATATGATATAAGTTGATAATGTAGCTTTACTCCTCCTGAGCATTCCTCCTCTAAAGCTTTTACCTGAAAAATGTTAAATAATAAGAATGAGACAATGCTTCAATAACTATATTCCTATTTATCACATACATTAGCATAGGCTAGGGAGGTGTCAAGTGGGATACACAGTACAGAGTTAATAAATCTATAATCATTTATTTAATAGTTAAACTCACAATGACTATATAAATAAGATATTTTAGCCAGTCTCATGTAGTTGATAATATCATAAGGGATAACATACTTTTCATTTATCCAAAAGATATAAATATCAATGAATATTCCATGTCATATGTAACCTGTGAACCTAAATCCACCCTTATCTGCTCCTTATTTCCATCGATTGGACTAATGGGCTTGGTTTTTTTCATTTGACTAGATACTCTCACAAGCTTACCACACGAGTGATGTGTACCAGTCAAAGATCATATAGCACTCGGTGGACCATGGGTCCCCATTCGAAGAATTAGTAGGGTGTCGCAGTCCTTCAAAAAACTAGTGAAACAATAATAATGGCAACCCATAGAGCCCTATATAGTAGTTAATACCACGTGGCATGTATATATTTGCATACTCCAACCATCTCCTTCCCCTAACCAAACTAGACCACAATAACATATTTATATGCATAATTAAATGAATTTTAAAATAATACCTCATAGTTATAATCATTAATTTTTAACAATACAAACGATTTCAACTTTTTTTAAAATAGCATTTCACAAGACATTTCATACAAAAGATAATATATCTATACAAAAATTGGTTATAAAACCACTTACAACCTCATACCAGAGTATGCAGCAGATAGAAATTTAGTTATTTAGACTCCTAGCTAATAATCAAATACAAATGAGATTCGTACTTGAAAATGCCATTGTAGTATTTATATTTACAAGTAAAATTAAAACATTATCTTTACAGTATTAGAGCAAACTACTCACAAATTTCTAGCTTTTAACTCTCATTCTAAAACCATCAACTGTTACTCAAAATTCTGGTTCAAAAGGCTTTTTTTTAAGGGGTTGGGGTAAGAACATATATGAGGATTTAGATTCAATTCCTAGATTCCTTTAGCTTATATTATTATTTAATTAAATTATATCATCAAAATCACCAAATTCACAACTTGGATAGAGAACCCTCAATTCATAGCTTATATTCTATTCTTGAAAATCTCTTATAAACAGATTTAATATGAGTTAAGTTATCCTTACCAAAGGAGTCTAATTTAATCTCACCATTGAATTTAACATCTTAGATGTTATAAATCAATTCTTCAAATTATAGCTCGATCCAATGGCGAAAATATTTAAAAACAATCATTTACTATTCAGGGTCCTATTTATAAAATCTAGAAAAATGAGTTCAAAGTGTACTTAATAACTCATACCTTAGAAGTCGTATTGATGATTCGACTGTTAAAATTAATGAGTATGAAGTTTAGGACTAGATGACCAAATTACAGCCTGATTTAATGGTTCACGAATTCGTAAACAGCACTTTACCGAGACTATTTTAATTTTATGCCAAAATTATTTACCTTGCTCTTAACTTTCCTCTACTACCACCTATATATAGCCCTCAAGAACTCCATTTATCCATGATTCAGTCATGTAGGACTTTTCAATATTATTATTTTATCCATCTTCTCATCATTTAGTCAATGTGAGATTTCTTAATATTGTTATCTTATTCATTTATTTATACACATGTTTATACATATACACAAATACATGAAGTTTTAATTATTTTAATTGCTTATATATATATATATATAATCTTTATCTATTTTTATCTTAATAAAAATTTATTTAAATCTTAGACATATAAAAATTAGGATGCAAAAGGTTTGTCACCCATTGAATTTGTAGTTGGGTCAGTGATTAAATCAAACCGGCCCGTCATCAATTTTCTAGTTGAATCGGCCTGTTCGATCTGGTTTTATGTTTACTGGTGAAGACCTTCCTGCCAGAATCTTGTCCATATTTTCACCTCAAATATGAGAGCTCTCTCTTTCTTTGCTCTTGCTCTGCAAGTGCAAGTTCGCCATTTTTCCTCTATAATTGAAAGCCCATTCGACTTTTTTTTCCTTAGCCACTGCGAGTGTCTAATGGAAGTTAGGAGGCATGGATGCATGAAAATGAAGGATGGAAAGTGACAGAAAATAGTGTCTGGAAGGAAAAAAAAGAGAACAGAATAGAAAAAGAAAAGAGAGAAGGCAAGGGAGGAAGGTGGGAATACGAAAATAAAAAGGGAAGACTGGTGAGCTTTGGAGAGATATTATGACATGCAACAGTAGAAGAGACCTCGAAAAACTCAAAGAGAAGACCTGGAAATGACAAGACACGGGGATAAAAAAAAACGGACATAAAAAAATTAAAACTTGAAATAAATTAAATTAATATTAAGAAAATATCAAATTGTTTTTTTTTACCTGAAAAATATGAAATTGTTTTCGATCTAAACCTTCATGCGTCAAATTCTTCAGCAAAGGACGTAAAGCACGAGTATCAAAATAGAAATGGATTATATTAATAAATATTTATATTGAATTATTTATTATTTATAATTTCTGCTTTATTTAAAAGTAAATTAAAATTGACTGAATTAATTAATATGAAATTGATAATTTTATTTTAATTCTCTTCCGTAACCCAAAATTCAAATATTTAATTATTTTTCTAAAATTACATAAAAATTATATTTTATTTTTTTACATATATATTATTATATATATGCAATACTATTTTTTATTTAATTATTATGCTGCCGATTTAACTGATCCAATCGTTTGAACCGTGATCCGCTAGAAAATTTAATATCTCATTCGGTTTTAAAACATTAGAAAGAACAATATAATGAAATGGAGGGACTATTAGTTTCGGGGAGAATTATACTAAATGACCAAATTCACAATTTAATTATTATGAATATTTATTATTTACATAACACAAATTTACAGCTAGAAAAGTATTCAACATTATTTACCGGTCAAGCAACACAAATTTACAAAACTAATGAGTGTTCATTATTAATATTACGTACTTGGAAATAAAAAAGAACTGAATTTCATCATTAGAGATAATTCTCCCATAGTTTTGTTGCTTTCTTTTCTTTCTTTTTGCGCTTTTGCCTTTTAAACTCTTCTGTGGAAAAATTTTGCGGAGAGAAAAGGACCTTGGTGTGACGCCCTGAAGTTTCATGTTACCTAACTTTTTTCGTTTTTTTAATTTCCATTTACGACCGTTCGAGTTCTTCTAATTCATCTCTGAGAGTGGTTAAGTGAATCAAAATTTTCCCGTTTTATATTTGAAATCGTCAAACTCATGAGGTGAATACAGACCCAAAAATACCGATAAATTGCAAGCTGCACGACATGAACAACGTTAACCAAAGCAGTTTCTTGTTCAACTATTACAAGAATTGATAAAAATCAGCTTAAGCTTTTTTACAACATAGAAACTTTTTAACTGCTCTGTTTCTATCTGTCATCACATCTGCCTTTGTAATAATGACAGAACCTCTCACGAAATAAACAAAAATGCCAAGATTCTAACTCGTTGTGCTCCAGCAACAACCTCAGAAAAAGGAAAGTTTGAAAATTGACAGAAAAAAGAAGGAGAAGGAGAAAGGGAAAGAAGAAACAGAGTGTAGAACAAGAAACAGAGCATGACTTGGTGTCTGGAATTGGGTTAGGCCGCTGCCACACTGAGAATATCAGTTTGGCCAACCTTTTTCCTCAAACAGATTGTTAGCTTCACAGGGTCCACTCCATCCCCAATCACGACCACTTTTTGTTTGTCTTCTCCTTCTATCCCCACAAAGCTCACACCTGCAAATATCATTTCCCATTTCCATCTTCGTCACTTCAAATTCATCTTCATTATATACTTAATTCACTTCAATACAATCACATTAAGTTCATATTCACTTACCGTTCGCTGAAGACGCAACTTTTAGTGCTTTGTTTCTGCATTTCTGGCAGCTCATATATACCTTCATCACAATCTTTTGCTGAACATATAATCAAAACACAAGTGGGTCAGTCAGTTCAGAAAAGAAAACAGAGCAGGAAATTTCTTATAGTATGCAAATACTACTATACCTTCATCTTTGATGAGGGATAAGCTTAGATCAGAGTTTGAGGTGAAGATGATAAGGTGACGTCAAGATGAAGAAGCTAGACGTTGATGGGGAGTGAAAGCCGCGACCCTTTTCCTTATATACAAGACGAGTCAACGAGAAGTCAAGTAACGTAAGATTAAAAATTCTGTCTTTTCAATAAAAGATTCGTAGTGTAACTTCGCGTGATGTTTCTTAAATCTTGAGAGTCAAGAATGATGGGAAGGAGAAGGAGTTGTTATTAATTATGGTCTCGTGGGGAGTGTGGACGTGTGGACTAAGTTCTTGGGGATTGTCCAGAAGACGCGTTAGGTCGTACATATAATTATGAAATGACCATTGTTAGGCCCATCTGTTCTTTGCAGCGTGAAACCAATTTTTCTCACAAAGGGACGATGTCCTGTTGCGGTGGGCCATTTGTATACAGCAAGTCAAGTCAATCGATCTACTTTGTACCCAAAAAAAAAAAGAAAAAAGAGAGAGACTTGGATAAATCCAACACGGCTTCTTGATCTGTTATTCTGTTTATTACGTTTGCCTTTGTCGTATCTGTTTGAGTCTATCTGGTTCTATACATCTTCATGATACCTTGCATATTCAAATTATTTTTTTTTCTCAATTTCAGGCCAAAAAAAATTATTTTTTCTCAATGGGTGAACTTGAACCTTTCTCGGGTTATGAATTACTCTTCGAATCCTAAATATAAGACTATTTTTATAGTGTAATTTATATTTAGAATTAGAAGAATATTATTTCTTGTTTTGCTTTGAAGAATAACTTTTTAATCGTGATTTACAAAATATAAAATGAGTATACAAAGAAAATTTTATAGGGAGAATTGTAATTAGGTCCCACTCAAGGAAATTAAATGCAAAAAGGTCCCTTGAAATTATTCTGAAGTCCCAAGGGACTTTTTTGTAATAAATTTTATTTGTTTAATTACCAAATTATCCTTCTTTTTTTAAAAAAAATTTGTATTGACAACTGAAAGAGCAGTGGTTGACAACTCAGGGTGTAAGGATTGATAACTATCGCGGCTGGTTTGACAACATATTTTCTTAGCATATCACACCATAAGTTGTCAAACCAGCCGCGATAGTTGTCAATCATTGCACCCTGAGTTGTTAACCAATGCTCTTTCAGTTGTCAATGCAAACTTTAAAAAAAAAAAAGGGTAATTTGGTGAGTAAACAAATAAAATTTAATGCAAAAAAATTTTTGGGACTTTAAAATAATTTCATGATTTCAAAGGACCTTTTTGTATTTAATTCCCTTGAGTGGGACCTAATTGTCATTTTCCCAATTTTATATCATACACCCGGATACAAACAAGTTCTGAGTTGGCTAGGTACTTAGGTTTGTGGGGTTTTGGCGAAACAAGCGGAGCAAGAGGGAGGATGCTTCGTGTCATTTGTACGGCCCATTAAGAAAACTCCAAGACGTTTCGTCGCACACGTTTCCCTGTTTAAACGGCCCATCTGTTAAATTATATTGGGTGGGCCCAGCTAACATTTGGATCTACTAGGTTTTGTCAAATTAAAAAAAAAAATCTCAAAGGAGGAATCCTTATTCCCTATGCTATGCGGCTATGCCCTCCTCTTGACCTCTTGTTTTTTCGGCCGACCTATGGTCATCGTCTTTCTCAAAGAAGGGAAAACTGGAATAAAAAATTTATTAGTAGCAAATATATGTGTGTGTGTGTTTGGAATTCATCTTTCATTTTTCTTTGACCAGATATGTTTCATGTTCTATATCTTTTATATATATATAAATATAAATATATTACATTAAAAATTAATTTAATTTGTTATTATTTTTAAATATAATCCATATAAATCCATGTGAGAAGGGGTACATGAGGCTGGTTTAAGTAATAAGGTTGAGTAGATTATGGGTAGAGGTTAAGGGTTCATTCTTTTGAATATTGAAAAGTAAAAATTATACTACCTCCACTTCTTAATATAAGACCTCATTTGACATTTATTTTGAACCTAAATATAAGACTCCAATCTACTTTATCTCAATATTTATGTCTTTTTCCTAAGATAGTCCTTCTAATAATGGTTTTGATGTTTATTTTGATCCCGAATATAAGATTTTAATATATTTTGTTTTAATATTTATGCTTTTTTTCCTAAGAGTCCTTCTAAGAATAGTTTGATGTTTATTTTAGAAAAGACAACATATATTTTTTATAAATAACTTAATTTATTTTTTTAATATCTTCAAATTAGTCAACTAACTCTTATAATTAGGATCGGAGGTAGTATATTTAATAAAATAATTAAGTGGAATTTTGAATTTTTCAAAGAAGTTGTAAACTTTTTGCATTAAAGTCCCTGACCATCGGACGCGAAAAATGTAGATCCTCTTCCATCGTCAAAATTAAGGTTTTACGATTGAGGCGGGTTGATCGAGAGGAAATCACTAATTTTTTTTAAAAAAGTACTATTGATAGTTCAAATATGATATATCATTCAAAAAATTTATACTATTAGGAAAATTATTTCAATTAAGCGTGGTAAATAATATTTGAATATGACATAACATTATCAAATAATAGATAATTAGTAGAAATTAATCTACTTTGAGAGTATTATTTGAGACAAAAGCTAAGATATAAATTCTTCCCAAATTAAATAACTTTGCTTATTATTCACAAATTAAACATTGACGTACAATCAAATAATTTTCCATTGCTTGCTTAAAAGACCGAGAGTCTTACCAGTACTCATATAAATCTGAATTGGTAAATATAATGATGAATATAATTGGTTCTCCATTGATTTAAAAGCAAGTTTATACCATTTTCTTCTAGATTATGATGAGCTTTATGTACAAGTAGTTATAGCTCCATCATGTGTATAATAATATATAAATTTTGGCTAATGGCTATTTAAATTACCATATACTCTTCCGGTCCTTATTATAAGACCCCATTTGACTTTTTATTTGGTCCTAATTATAAGACCCCAATCCATTTTGTCTCTTATATTTATGCATTTTTTTCCAAGATAATCCTTATAATAATGATAGTTTTAGCCAATATACTTAATTAGCAAGGATATTTTAGGAATGACAACACTTATTTATTATAAATAACCAACTTAACTTACTTCTTTAATCTCCTCAAATAAGTCAATTGGGTCTTATAATTAGGACCGGAGGAGTATATTAATTTCCCCCATCATATTCCCAATGTGCCCTTTAGTTGGGTCGTTGTCATGCCAAGTCAAACTTGGCAACTCCAGTCTCCCATTAGTCTTATCGGCATGCTATTTTAAATCATATTATTAAGAAATATATGATGTGCTCGCTTAGCTTTTTTCCATCAAATTAATTAATTCCCCCCCCCAAATAATTAGTATAAAAGAGCTTTATTATCTGGCTAAAAATACGCCTTTAATTTTCTTCCTAAGAAATTAGGGTTCCATTTAGTACGAATCATTAAAAACGAGAGATAAAAACTGTGATTAGAATTGAGAAAAATTATTATTAATCATTGAGATGGGATTGGAGAATACCACCTCTTATCATAGTATTCTCCAATCCCACATACATGGGTTTACTTAATCTCATGTTATAAGAAATATTTCATGCTAAACACTCTTTTAGTAGGTTTTCTCAATTCTAATCCCAATTCCTATCCTTCATTTTTAATATGTTGTATCAGACAGAACCTAAGCAAACACCTTTGAAGATTTTACAATGTTGTAATCTAATTAAGAACTAATAAACTAATACACACACATAACTGATCATGATGCGGGTGATGAAGTGACTTGTGATATAAAATTCTCTGGATTCTGTATATTCAACAACCAACAAATTTTCATATAATATAAAACTCAAACTCAGGTGGGTTTTGTGAATTGAATTATTCATGACTTATCATATATATAAAAGCTGATTATCTCTATATATATATATATATATATATTTGCCAACTAGACGTATTGATATTAAATTACACAAAAATGCAAGTCTTTGATTGACCTTGCGTTTGGGAGGGAAGCTTCACTGCATTTTCCTGTTGCACATTTTCCAACGCTGCTGTAACCATGCCTGCAGTTATATGCGTTATAGTATGTGTTTCTGTAGAGAGAGAAAGACAGAGAGAGAGAGAATTAAATAGTAAAGAAAGAATATGCAGCATCCCAAGATATGATCGAAATCCTCTCTCAATTTTTTTTTTTTTTTTAAAAAACATGCCCAGGATTGAACATTTCTGCTTGAAACAGCAGTGAAACACGTGAGATAAGGGAATAGGGATGTGTTTATTATTATGAGCTTCCTACATACCAGGAGAGAATCGAAGAGCAAAAAAAGAAGAACAACAAGAACGAAGACGAACATACATGTGCAGGAGAATATATCAGTTCTAAAATAATCTCCGCAACAAGAACATATATGCATGAACTGAAGTTAATTAACACACATATAATAATGATGATGATGATGGATTAATTGAATAATACAGCGATGGATGAAGTAACCTGCATGGCTCCCCTCATGCCAAGTAAGAAGGTTGCCAAACCTTTTGGGAAGCTTCTTAGATGGCATTCAGGGAGCCAGGCAAGCCATAATCAGCATCTCATCACTTCACACACACACACACACACACAACCATACCAATATCTATATCTTCACGAACCTGCAAAAACAACAATATTCTGGCCATATATGGATACTGAGATGAACAGGATCTATATATGAAATGATGGTATGATTAGTGAGTGAGTTTGGTTGGAAGAGAAGGGGAAAGAGGGGATTATTATAGGAAGGGAAGAAGCAGAAAGGAGTGAGAAGAGAGACAAGGGAAAGCACAGAGAGAGAAGAAGAAGAAGAGATGAGGGAGGGTGTGAGCGAAGGCGGCAGCCACAGGTTGCTCTCTTATAACAAATACTTCCATTAGGTCCATCCAAAGCTGCCTGTGGGTTTTACAGGTAAGCCCCTTTTTGGATTTTTCTTCCCTTGGAAAAAGGCCACCTCCCAAATTATAAAAACAAACATGCTTTAGTTGCTTTGGTGAATCATTTACTGTCAGTTTGTGCGTTTTCCTATTCATTTTTTTTTGCCCTTCGTTTTTATTTCTTTTTAAAAAATCACTGATTAGTCAATAGGAGAGACTTCACATGAAAATTCATCCCTCGTAATTCGAGTCCCCATTAATTGGTACAGGCCAGCTTGGCCCTCATCTAATTCTTGTTTCTAGACTATTTTTTTTTTTATAAGAACCATTTTGCATATGATATTATTGTTTAACTTATCTTTAAATCACATTAAAGGGACATTGGGTGCTTTTATTTTCTATTTAACCTAGTTGTATCAATTATATCAAGTTCTCTAATCATGCATGATTATATTTTCTATTTTTAAAATATTATCCTCAGACTATAAATTAACCCAAATAAAAAGGTTAAGATATATATATGATCATATGTAATTGGAAAACTTAATGTAATTGATATAAGGAACTCAACCTAAGCATTAACCTTAACCTAATTATTCTTAATAATTCACCCTATTAATTTATACCAGAGAAAAATCTATATTAATCCACATCAAAACCACAGATTTTGGGAAAAAACAGGAGTTTGCAAAAATATCTTTTTTGTTCAATAAGAAGTTGCCAGCCATGGCTAAGCTATCTTTTAATTACTCGCATTTCAAATACATTTCTTAAATTTAATTTCAAGCAGGTCATTTGATTTGAATCTAAAATGAACAAGAGAATAACGGAAACATCAATTCCTTCGTGCAATCCAAAACCAACATGCATGCCTCTCAATTATTGCATTTTTTAAGTTATCCAAAATTAAAGTACACATTCACATCAAAATTTATTAAAAAAAACCATTAAAGAATACTTAATTCAAAAAGGTAACACAATCAAGGTTTAACACTATTATATATATAATGATGCAAAACAAATTCAAAATCATATGCCGCCAGCTGTTGGGTAGTCTTGATAAAAAAATTATCGTCTTTATCAGTTCAAACCTTCCAATTCCACAATATGAATACTGGGTACGTGTGAAAGCTTGATATGTGAAATCTCATTTTCCTCTGCTGATGATTCAACTTTAATGATTATGTCTGAAGTAATTGAAGAGTAATTAAATAATGATAATAGTACTATTATATTGACAAAGTTAAATAAAATTAGAAGGGTCAAGGAAGTTATTATGTGATAGTATATATATACATCAGCAGACGAGGCCAAAACCAGTGAATAAGACAAGGCCAGAGTTGCTGTGTTGGTTTGATGAGTTTGAAAGCTCTCACAACTGAACACGGATCAAATATGGACAACTATTCCATCCATCAAACTCATGCTCACTCCATCAATGTCACAAATTTAATGCTTCCTCTGCCTTTTATTATAAGAAACAGGTATTAAAATTACACTTCTGGCCAAAAAAAATTATTAAAATTACAGGATTCAATGTAAGTTAAAATTAATTAAAAATAATAAATGTGTAAAATATATACTCTTTTGATTTTATTCATAAGATTGAGAGAGAAGGTCTTTCATAATTCTATTTATAAGTCACTTCATTGAATTTTTAGCATGAATTTATTATTTTATCTTTTATTTATAATAATATAGATAGTTATTCTTTTTGAAATGCATGTATATTAAATAGAAACAAAGTTGGAAAGTTTTTATATTTTAATAGATAGTTGATGCAGTTTAAGGCTTTTTTTGGTCTATGTGAAATATGCTGGAAGTACCCTTATAAATAGGATTAGAAGAGTATATATATTTTTCCAATTATATTCTTGTTTATGAAGAAAGTATATGAGAGGTGATGAATAAAAATTTATTACAAAGAGATAATAAGTGGTATATGACAAAAGTAAACAGATTAGTTTAAAATTTCAGACAAAAAACTTTATTTTTTATATTTAGGAACACTACTATTGGAGAGATTGCTTCTTACGAAAACAGATGGAGGGAGAATATAATTAGAAATCTTGTGCAGTATCTATCAAATAGAGTAAACTAGTTAATTTGGATTATCTATATATATATTAGTCATACTTTGTGAAGGTTTTATTTTTCTTTTTGTTTCTAAGCCAACAACTTATTATTTTCTGTATGATTCTGCAGATTCAATATGAGTAACACTGTTTTGTTGTACTCATCAATACATGGAATATAAATTATTGAATAATAAATATTACATATATAAAATTAATAAAAAATCACTAGCCTCTATTTAACGATTCTCCAGTGCAAATGATCCTTCAATTCATAAGAACTTGACTATTTAGGTTGCATGTTTGATTCAAAGAATAATAGCGAATATTAATGGATTGGAATGATGATTGCAAAATGCATAGTATTTGTTTGGTATGCCATTAAGGAATCATAGAATGAAATTTATATTTTATCCAAAAAATAAAAATAAAGGAGATATTAATGATCTTTTTAATAACTCCATCAAGACCAACAGTGGAGGATATAAATGTCTAAATATTTATTAATGGATGATATGGAATGGATATCTGATAATAATGGTAATGAAAAATTGTGGTAATTATTTGTGCTTGTTTCGCTTAATTACTATAGTTTCAGACGTTTATCATATTTTACACACACATGCACACATTAAATTTATAAAGCCATCCCATCCGCTTGGGCCAGAATATTAAAAAAAGAGAGAAGAAAACAGATATAAAAACACAAAACAAACAAATGTTCATAAATTCATTTTACAGTTTTTTGGATTGAAATTATATTTTGTGCATCTTTTGAAGACTTGAAGTCAGTGGCCAAGAAAAAGCACATGCCACTTCCTTATCTCTTTGTTCTCTCTCTCTGTTTTTTTTTTTTTTTTGGGTACAGATATCTCTTTGTACTCTTCCACGATGTGGTCCATCAATTTTGGATCTTGGCCTTTAATGATAATATTCCCAAAAACGAAAATACATGGCATGGAGGCAAGAGATTTTAATATTGAAAAAATCAATAAATGATTTGATATCCAGAATAGCTATAAAAAATGAAAACAATATTTATATATGTTGATAAATAAAAAATGATGATACAAAATTGGTTTTTTACATGTATCAATCTATTTGAAGTTTACGTTTCAGACTATATAATATATATAATAAATTGATTTGAAAAAAAATTATACATAAACGTTTTATATTTAAAAAAGAAAAAATAAAAAAGGAAATAGAATGACAAAAAAAAGATGCCAGATGCCGAAGTCCCCTTGTTAACATATATAACTTATGGAAATTAATTACAGAGAAAATTTTACTAAAAGACTTATAATAAATAGTTAATAATACCAATTATGAAGGTTCACAAAATTTACCATTGCACTAAAAGTCAAGCTAGACACGATTAATATGATAGAAAAGCTTTTTAACAGAATGAATATGATAGGATTTTTTTGGGGCACAATATGATAGCCTAAGACCTCAATGCTTCCAATTCTTACCCATATAATAATAACGCGTACATTTATCGGTTGAGGCGTGGCTTTTTTCTACTTATTTCACAAAAATGCAAAGCTTATTTCCTAATTATCCAAATCATTTAATCTAATATTATGATATTATAATTAAATTTTAGGAGCATTACCAAGAAATCCCAATAAAGAACTTTAACTAGTAAAAAGTCCCAATGACAAATAACCAGTCTAAACTATTATTATTTTCTATTTTGAAACTTATTATTGCTTGTTCTTCATTTATAGATGTACTTTAGGGTAGTTAAATGCCATTTTTAATTTCTGATTGCAATTCTCTCTTAAATTTTGGACATTGATAAAATTTTTTGCAATGTATAGATTTTACGGCAACGCACCAGCAAAAAGTATATTTTGATAAAAATTACATCTCGATGTAATAAGATTTTTTTTTCCAGTGGAACTGTTACATTATATTTTTAGTGCAGTTTTACTCTTAATATATATATTTTTAAGTAGCAAAAAGTATCCTAAACTATTTAAGATACTGAGTACTGTTAATCACTTTAAAATAGTGGATGCTACTAAAAAAATATTTTACAGTGTCAACTGCTAAATACTGAGTGTTACTCAAAAAATATTTCAAACTGTTAGATACAAGATATTAAATACCGGGAAGTATTGGAAAAATATTTCAAAGAGTTCTGAGTGTAATAGAAATTATTTCAACATATTAGGCATCACTAGGAAAAAAGCTGAGGCGGCTAGATAATTTTTGGGGAAAAAAAAAGGTGTTCAATCACCATCCTCATTTTACCCCAAAACGATGTAGTTTTGGGGTAGAGGAGGGGCACCGGAAGCCAGGTCCCTTGAGATGTAATATTAATTGCCTGGTTGGAATTTTTTTTTTTTTGGCCTTTTAAGTTCGCTTTTCTATTTTAAATTAACTAACTTGATGTTTCTACTAATTTAAAATTTGATAGGCTCCCATTTTCACATCCAAATCTGACATATTCTTCATCAATAACTAACTTAGAACAGCACATATCAAAGCATGAAATGTAAGAAAATAGTTAGGTTCATCTTCCTAATATTATCAGCTGATCAGAAGGCTGATATTGCGGTCAAATATAGAATGTTTTCCGATTAGTTCATATTATTTTGAATATCCATTCTCTTATGAAAATTGTACGTTCTTAAATTATTTTTTCGAGCTACAACCACATAGACATAGCCTTTTTCGGATGTTTTGAAGAACTATTAAAAAAAAAAAAACTAAAGTATACACTTGTCCTTTAACTTTTTATAAGATTTTAATTTAATACCTTAACTTTAAAAAGCATACATTTAGTTCTTTAACTCTAAAATTATTTAGCTTCAATGATAATTTTTGTAACAATCATGAATTTTTTAAAAATTAAACTTAATATGTTAGCATTTGAGAATATTTTTCAACATTTAAGATTTTAATGTCATTATCTTTATAAAAAATTTTGGGGTTAAATGACTAAAAGTATATATACTTTTTAAAGTTAAGGGAACAAATTGAAACCTTGTACAAAGTTATAGGATCAAATATATCATTTAGCCAAAAAAAAAAAGAAAAGAAAAAGACAATGCTTAGCCAAGGTGTACTCTAGAAAATTGTAAAGAAAATTACTTGGAAAATCTAAATACGAATTATCCAACGTGTCAGTGCTAAAAAAAAAAAAGAATTACCCAACGTGCAAAAGTTTTTTCTCCCCCAAATTTAAGGCACAACCGGACAATACTTTTTCACATATGTGAATTTGCTATATTCCGTATGAGATTCAAACGGCTAAAATCTCTGATAATAATTAATTTAATAGTTCTCTTATTTGAACACAATAATTTTGAAAAAATAGTTAAAATATTGCGATGAGATTTTTATGCTAATTTGTTGAGATATATATTTTTTGTATCTCTTATATATAAGTAGACACATCCCTGCTTCATCCCTGTGTGATCGATTGAGATCGATTAGTTTCGTAAAAGAGAGAGATCAATGGAACTTGCAAAGCATTCCATTTTCTTCTTGGCATTCATTCTCTTATCGTTCTTTCAAGCACCCACTTTTGCAGCCAGGAATGTACTAATATTATTGACTCACTATAAGTTAGTTATTTTCTCTTCATATTTTATGTAATAAATTTTTATTAATCTGATCATGAATTAATCTTTTTTTTTTTGTCATTTCATTGATGAATTCAGTGTTACATAGTGTACTTGGGATCTCATTCGCACAGTCGAGAAGGAACAAATGCAGATTTGCACCGAGTTACACAATCTCATCATGAACTCCTAGGATATTTTTTGGGAGGGTATGGTATTATTCCAATTTTTTAATTAATTAATTACCCTTAATTATCTTAAGCTATCTTATTTCTTCACTAATTATGAGTTGAAATTTTGATATGTGTGTGTGTGTTGTAATAGAAACAAAAGATGGTTTTCATATATTACCTCCAGTTTTTAATACAAGAGTTTACTTGACTTTTATTTGAGTTTTAAATATTAAGACCTGAATTTACTTTGTCTTTCATATGTATTCTTTTTTTAAAGATAGTCCTTACAATAATAGTAGTTCTAGCTAATACATTTAATTGACCAAAATATTTTAAGAAAAATATCACATATTTATTACAAACAACTAATTTAATTAGTTTTTTTTAATCTACTCAAATTAGTTAACTAGATCTTATATTGAGGATTGGACGTAGTATTTAATTTGTTGTGGCATCTGTGATACGCATATATACAGGACATCCTAAAGTGTTGAAGGTATTCAAAAGCAAAGAAAGGAGATTACACACGACTCGTTCATGGGAATTTATGTCCCAGACAGATGTTAACGGTGTAGCCCGGCGAAGGTTCTAGCTTCAGGAAGGCTAGATTTGGTGCTGACGTTATCATTGCAAATATTGACGGCGGTAACCAAATTACATTCCACTATATTAATTAATTAATTACACCATTATATTTCAGCTCTTTAAAGATTTATTACATTAGACAAAAAGATGATTTCATTTTTCTTACGTTAATTAATCAATAGTTCAAGTTATGAAATTGCATGTTATTGCATGCGCTTGGCCTGAATCTCAAAGCTTTTCCGATGAGGGAATGGGACCCATTCCTTCCAGGTGGAAAGGACCTTGTGATGTTGATAAAGACCCTTTAGGCTTTAGGGTTTCGCTGTAATAGGTATACATAACCAAAATTAATTTCAATTAAAGTATCACAATATATGATTATTTTATTAAAACAAAAATCATACTCCTCCGGTCCTAATTATAAGACCCAATTGACTTATTTGAGGAGATTAAGGAAGTAAGTTAAGTTGGTTATTTATAATAAATAAGTGTTGTCATTCCTAAAATATCCTTGCTAATTAAGTATATTGGCTAAAACTATCATTATTAAAAGGATTATCTTGGAAAAAAATGCATAAATATAAGAGACAAAATTGATTGGGTCTTATAATTAGGACCAAATAAAAAGTCAAATTGGGTCTTATAATAAGGACCGGAGGAGTATGATAACAATGCGCCATTTATTTTCATGCATATACATATACCTAAAGAGTGGCATAAAATTAAAGAAAAGGCATAAATGTAATTAGTTCATAAGAAAACTAAAGAGTAATAGCTGAACAGTCAAAACAAATTATTACTATAAATTATAACATACTACCTCAAGTCTTAAACATAAGAGTTAGCTTATAGTGCAATTTATATCTAGGACCAGAGGTACTACATTCATAATCTCCTTAAAATATTTTTGTCCAAAATTAAATTATATATCAATTAGTCTGAAAAAATGATAGCACATATATATATATATATATATATATATATATTCTCTCACCTCTCTACTAGTTCTAATTTGATCAAGATTAGTTGATAGGAGCAAATTGAAGGCTTGGATTATGAATGCAGGAAGTTTATAGGAGCAAGGTACTTCAACAAGGGCTATATGAATGATGCTATGGGTGCTGCAAGCTCAAGTAGTGAAGGACTGAAGAATGAACTTCACACTCCAAGAGACTACGATGGCCATGGCACTCACACTCTCTCAACAGCAGCAGGCAGCTTTGTTCACGGCGTCAATATCTTTGGCCGCTTGGCCAACGGCACTGCCTCCGGTGGCTCCCCGATGGCAAGAGTCGCCGCCTACAAGGTCTGCTGGCCGGACGTGGATGACCCGTCCAGCCTCTCCTGCCATGATTCCGATATACTCGCCGCCTTCAATATGGCCATACACGACGGCGTTCATGTCATTTCCGTGTCTCTGGGAAGTAATTTTCCTCAGAGTTACTTAGATGATATTAATGCAATCGGCGCCTCTCACGCCTACAAAAATGGCATAAATGTCGTCTGCTCCGGTGGAAATGCGGGTCCATTCCCTCAATCTGTCATCAATGTCGCGCCTTGGGTTTTCACAGTAGCTGCTAGCACCATAGACAGGGACTTCCAAGCTCGAGTTCAACTCCGCGATGGCCAAATCTTCCAGGTGTGTGTGTGTGTGTGTGTATCCCT